ACACACACACACACACACACACACACACACACACACACACACACTATATCTATCTGTCTATATACACACACACACAAGGCATATATATATATGCTCACAAGGCATATGTGTGTGTGTGTGTGTGTGTGTGTGTGTGTGCGCGCGCGCGCGCTTAGAGGAAGATTGACAAAATGTAAATGCTCAATACATTTGAGCTATTGTATTAATCAGCCTCTAAATTACTTTTGAGGAAATTCATACAATATTTGTTCTTACCAGTGCTATGCTACGCAATTATATTAGGGGATTTAACACTAAATTTTTTACCTGTAAAAATGTATATGTATGTCAGTTTGAAATACCCATCTTCATTATAGAACAATGTTACTACTTATAAGAGAATCTATGATTATAGCAGGGAAATAATAAAACAAGAGAATAAACATTTAAGTCCAGAAAAAGGCCAAAGTCCTTCTCTCTTCAGCTCAGTTATCTCCCTTTCTCACCACACTCTACTAGTATTCCAATAAAACCAAATCTAAATCTAATAATAGTCTTGACTAGGTAACACGGGAACTTTTCCTTCTTCTCTCTAAAAAGCCATGGGGGCCATTCAGCAATGATAAAATTTGCTCCTTATGGGTATGTATGGGTATATAACTGCTAACCTGTTCAGGTTATTATTTTTTCTTAGACTTAAATCTCAGAAGTTAATCCAGTAGATAACTGACATTTGTGAATTTAATATTTTAAGTTTTATTTATTCAAGAAGAACCCCAAATCTCCATCATATTTAAAATCCATCATTTTGTAGAAATGTAAGCTTGAATCTTGCTCTCCTGATGAAACCAACTCAGGAGACAGCCATGGAAGGAGTGATTTAGATTCTCCAATACTCTATTTTATGTAAGCATGAAAAGGAAACCTATTCAAGATTATGAATTGAGACGGGATGTTTTTCTTTACATTACCAGGAGCAGTGGTTCTACAAATAGCCTGTGTTCTATTTGCATCGCATAATGTTTCAAACTAGAGTTGTAGTTATATATGAACTAAAGTCCATAGAATGACTAAAGTTGTATTTGCACTGCACCCCTTTCCCCAAGGGTCACATGGTAGTACTGGTGATGAAGTCAAAAAAATTCTAAAATTGTGAATATTCTTGATCTGAAAATTTTGGAAATTATTTTTAGATTCATGTATATCATAGAATCGCTATGAGTCTAAATGGAAGACTGGAAGTTCACTTAATATTTTTAGTCAACTTTATTTTTATAGTCAGGTTATAAGCTATAGTAGAACTGACAATAATTTAGGGGTCCTTTCAGGTCTTGACTAGTACTGTAGGTGAATGATAAAGCATAAATTTTAGCTCTACCTCCCGCTCCTGGACAAATTCTCACATACTTCATATGCCGTGTGCGTGGTGTGTGTTTATGATGTGTGTGTGCGTGTATGAACTGAATTTAAGCTTAAGTGTGATTTTACAATATCCTCCTTAGAATAAGTTACCCACATCTCCTCACTCCCAGATTTGCCATTGTTTTTAAGTTTTTCATTTGTTTGCTTGTTTAAGCAATGGGATTCAGCAAAATCTTGCAGAGAAACCAAACATGAAAAATAGGCAAACCCACACTTGGTAGATGGCCAAGGTAGCAACCTATAGAATAGTGCCTCCTGCCTTTCCTCTCTCCTGTGCCCACTCCACTTGTAGACAGCATCAAAGGTATCTTTCAAGGAGAAAATGTTGTCCCAGCAAAGGGGAAAAAGAAACCATTTGAGCTAACATAAATAACTATTCCTTATGAAAATCAAGAGAGAGGGAGAGGACATTGGTAGAAGGGAAAATAGAATTGTATGGACTATAATCAAGACTTCCTATGTTGCCAATTAAGTGGCATCTGGCAAACTGGGCTCCATGATTCATTTCCTTTGCCTATCAAAGGAGACTAACAATCGGGAAGACTACGTAAATTAGACTGACTTACTATGCACTATATAGAAATGTTGATATTGCCATCAGCAGGCCACTTATTCATTCATTCATTCATTCATTCCAGCACAAATGTATTGAGACCTACTATGTGCCGGAAACTATACTAAGTTCGAGGAAATCAAAGATAAAAGCACCGTCTCTGCCTTTTAGAACTCTGGTTGTGAGAAAGTTATGTAAAGTTGCCTGAGAGAATCAGAGAAGATTCCAAGAGCATTTGCACAGGCCCCAGAGGAAACAGGGATAAGAGACAAGTATTTAGGTGGGGGAGTGAGGGGAGGAGAGTTGTTTTATCTTGCAAGGGCATGTGGTTCTCTTGGCACCCTGGGCTTCTAGCTAAAGTTCCTAGACACTGAAGAGCAAGGTTCTTGCCTAATCTCACTGTCTTTTGCTGTCTCACCTCAAAACTTCCTATATACCCTGCTTTAAACAGAACGTTTATATCACTACATTTTGACAGCATTTTATACCTATCTGCATACTTGTCTATCTTCATCATTACACTAGAAACTGTTTGTTTTATATTTATTTTCCTGACAAATGCATGACATCCACTTAATAGTATTGAATAAAGGCATGGATGGATGATTTAATGAATAAATGGTAGAAGAGAGTATAAAAAAAGAGTTACAGCAGGAAGATAGTGTTTGCTTACTTCAAAGTTTACTTGGGGTCTTGTTCAACATACTGATGAATCTGAACCTCCAACCCACTCTTTTATGTAAATACGGAAAGCAAATCCTTTCAAGATTATGAAGTAAGATAGGAAATGTTTCTCCTATCCTAATAGGAGCAGTGATTTGCAAATAGTTACATGTGCTTCCTCCCTCTCTCCACAGTATTTGACTTGTGGATGATTTGTGTTCTCTGGATTCTTGGGTCTTTGGAAGGTGGCTTCTAACTCTTTACCATACATTCATGGTAGACACGACCTCGACATGAAATCTGTACAAGGCAAATGCTTATGAGCAATAGGTCATACTAGGAATACCCAGGAATAAATGGAAAATTTGGTGTGAAAGAAAAGGTATGGGGGTTGGGGATTTCTGTACAATAGGATTTTCATGCTTTATGGACCTGGGAAACAGTATCTCTGGGAGAAAAAAGTTCAGGCATCTCTATATATATTTCCAGTTTAACAAGCTCACAAATCAATCTGAATATCCAACAATTCTACTGGGATCTGGTTTCCATCTCGTAAACAAACACTTCTGGTTTTACCTTTTTGGGTTCTGGCATATTATTAATATAAATAGTGTAGACTCCACTTTTATTAAAACCAGCTTGATATACATCTGCACAGTCTCTAAATGGTTTATCTTCCTCTCTTTTTCCTCCCTTTAGTAAAACTGCAAAAAAAAAAAAAAAGATTGCAATATGTGAATATCAGTACCATTAGTAGCCAAATGGACTCCAATAATAGCTAAGCATGTCTTCATTTCCTCCACACAAATGTCAATATTGCACATAGTAAAAAATCAATCATAAAGATAATACTAGATTTTGAAGTGGCTTACAAAATTTTTTTTTAAATCGAAAAGAAAATGCTGTAGAGCAATTTCTAACTGAATGCTTATATTTTATTTAATTTCTTAATTCTTATTTTTCTAGGTATCCTTTCCAAAACATCAACTTAAGGAACAAATGACCTGGTCATGTAATATCTTCAATTAGTAGCAATTACGTCAAGTTTCCTGTAATTTCTGAAACATTCTTACCTACGTTTCACAGGAAAGTTTAAAAAAATGCTCATACACTTTTTGGAGCAGGAAGAGATGAAGATAAATTCAAACATAAAAATGCAATATGGAAGTTTTAAACACTAAAAGCAAGTAGTACTGTTTTTCTGTGACTTTATATTGAAGAGCTTCTAGAAATTTTTACCAAAAAAAACAAAACAAAACCAAAAGAATAAACAACTCTTACAATAATTAGATTTGGAAAGTAGAAGAGTTTATGACCCAACTTAACTACCTGCAATGAAAATGTAACCGAACTTTGTTCTTTCTTTAATGCCCTGAAGTTAAATCATTAGGCAGATGATACACAAATAAAAGAACAAACAAATGAATACAACTTTGAAATTAAGTTATATAGGAGGAGGAGTTCCAGTAAAAGCTAAAAGTTAAGTGAAGACAGGAAATCTATTAATAGAGATTATCTCTATTGAGAAAAACTTATTTTATTTACTGAGTTTTATCCATTATTTAAGTTCATACCAATGAAATAAAAATATAAAATAACCCATAATTCATAATTCTTAGCTAAATATATGTTATATTTATAAAATATTTATGATTTAATATTTTCTGTTATGTATTATTTTAGTAATTGTTTTTATTTAATCTTTTTCTAGAAATTAAGATTAAGACTATTTTGTAATCTTACCCTTAAAGTTTTCTATCACTTAATAAATATCTGCTTTCAATCACATTGAGTTGTAATACTCTTTTATAATAAAATACCAAAGGTAAATTAGGAATCAAAACTTTTACACTGATTTTATATGATCTAAAAATCTAAAATCCAGGCCTGACTTATTACTGGGCTTCATACTAAATACCGGCCTTTCATTGCCTAATGTTTACTAACTTATAAGTATTGAGCAGTCTAATCTTTGTGGAAAGAATTACTATTTCAATATAAATTACTCAGATTTTTAAAAATACTAAATTATGTTTCAAGAAAATGAAATATTTATGTCAGATATGTTGCCATAACAAAAAAATAGTACTAAAGCACTTAATAACATTATGATTTTCTATGTAGCTCATGTCTGCACTAATGGTTTTAATGAATTATACTAATAATTACATCTAAATATCATCATCACAATTGCCATGTCAACACAAAATAAATAAACTAACTAGAAAGCTACAGATTCATGTAATAGTGAAGAAGTACTGCACAGAATATATGCAAATAGCAATTTAAAGATGCATAGATAAATGCCTACTCAAAAACCGTCTTTAATGACACTGAGGATATCAATGGATTATACAAAGGTATCCATTTCAAGAGCATTGATGTAGTTTACTGGTGTTCATTTATTCTAACTTTGAGGACTGCTATGTTTCTAAATCAAAACAAAAATTTTAAATGTTACCTACTGTATCCTTTCTTCTGTTGGAAAGCTGAAAGTAACCAAATTAGATGCCCAGAAAAAAAGAGATGTAAAGAAATACCAACTAAAATTTATGATCACTTGAGAGGACAGAAAACACAGGAAGATGCGGTCAGCAGGAACCCAAAGGTAAACCCATTTTTCTCTTTTGAGAGAGAGAAAGTCATTTACCCACGGAAAAATTGCTTCTCTTGTATATACCACATCCTGCCCTCCCCTTTTTAGTTATGTATGGAGAACACATTCCCTTCACATTTGTCTGCCATCTCTCCTCCCGTTTTCTTTTCCACTTCAGGAAGATGTGGGTGAAGGGGCTGTGTGTGGGAAGAAGCAGCTATTTCACACACATGTTTAGTAACCAAGAAAAAAGGAAAAAGTTGGCTATTGTCTTATTTTTGTGAAAACTATAAATTTGTTGTCAAAAGCATGAATACAAATTCTATACTTGGGAAAATGGTTTGAGAATTCTACCACCAAAGGTACACCTAGTATTATGGTTATATTATAGATTTTTTTATTTTTACGGTAACATATCTGAAATATATATTATGTTTTCTTGAAATTTAATTTGGTATGTTTGAAAAATTGAAATACTCATATTCTTTTTTTTAAAAAAAGTCATTCTTTCCAGAAATATTAGATTGCTTATTTTTAATTACTTACCAATTAGCAAACATATGCCTGAAAGTTAATCCAGGCTATATTTTAGAATAGCAAGGCACTGAAAGTCAATGTAAAAGCTGTATCCACAGCTTACCTTTGATATTTTTATTATATACTACAGTTTGAACAATCTACCCTTACCCCTCTGTAAGGGTAGACTGATTTTTGGAAGTTTTTTCCCTTAATCTATAAAGTGAGGTAGTTATAAATCCTTCGAGATGGGTATATGAATTACATAATACAGTGCAAAGACAGTGAAGCATAGTAAGTACTCAAGAAATGGTAGTTACCGTGGTAATGATAACGCTGTTAACAGCAATATTATACTGTTACTCCTTCTTATGGAAGGGACACTAGCAGAGTGTGGAAGGCTAGCCAGTCCTGTCTAGGGAGTGGTGGATGCTGCTGTCTTCCACCTTCCGATTAAAACACAGCAGTTATAGTTAACTGATCATATTTAGGTTCACATTGAATTAGCCTCTCTTGAATTTTGAATTTCCTGAACATTGCAAATGCTAGCACCAGTGATTTTTTTTGTTTTTTATTAGGTCTTGAGATTCAGTTAGATAGAAGATAGAAATTGGAGGAATATTTAGTAAATGACACAAGAGACAGATAGATACAAAAGACTTGATGGGGCCAAGAGCAATGGCTCATGACTGTAATACAGTGCTTTGGGAGTTAGAGGCAGGAGGATCCCTTGACGCCAGGAGTTCAAGACCAACCTGGGTAATACAGTGAGATCATGTCCCTTAAAAAAAAAAAAAAAAAAAAAAAAAAGGTCTGAACTAAGATTTGTGGGAAAAGTAACAAACTGATTTGAAAGCATGAGTTAAAAGGTATGATCTTTATGTCTAAAATTCTTTCTTTGACCACATATTCTTATTTTTCCTTTCTTATTCTTTAATTTCTAATGAGTTCATCTTCCTTCTTGTGGAGAATTTAGATCCCCACCATTCCTATCACTGCTTTCCTAGCCTCCCTTTTCTTTCTTCTTAGCCTCGATCCCAGAGTCAGGAATTTAATAATGGCCCATTTGGCCTCCCTGGTCTCTCCATCCATTGTCCTTACATCCACTCACCTTTGCATAGGTAAATCCTGACCCCTAGATGGGCATTCATTCACTTTCTCAACCCCCTTCTAGACTGCAAACACTGAGTCATTTCTAACAAACTTTCTATGACATTTCCTGTAGAGTGTACTGCAAATCTTTCTACTTAAAAAAAAAAAACAAACTAAAAACTAAAAAACTAAATCATATTCTTATCTTCTCTCACTCCTTATAAATGACTTTTATGGTTTACTATGAAGATCAAAGCCATTTGATATGTCTCCTCAACTCCCTTCCTCTGCACTGCAGAAGCGGTCTTCACCTCTTTACCCTCACCTCTTGTGTTGACTTCTCCTAGTCCCTTTCAACTTCTCCAATTGTCTTTTCTCTTTCCTCTTTATCTGTTTCTTTTCCTCTCATCACCTACCATGGAGATGTTCACTAAGATTCCATTCTTGAATCTCTATTTTTATTACATCTGTTCATTTCGCAAACTATCTTGGCTTCCAACTGCTACACAAAAGATTTCTAATATACACAGGAATTTTTTAACACTGAGTATTTGCCTCTCAAGTCTTGACCCTCAGAGTCATATAGCTACTTGCCTGTTTGGCAGTCCTTCCTGCTATGCCAACTTTCACCTGTTTTATTTTACCTAACCTTTCCTTACAAATCCTGTGTTTTCTCTTTCCTTTATTAGTCCCACTATCCTTCCCCAGATTTTATCAATTAAACATTAGTGAAAGTGTTAATTTTTTTAATAAGACAGAGTGTGGATTTTCCATTTGTCCCTCTGCTTTTTATCCTCTCTTAGTTCAATTGTCCTATATTATTAATTCAACAAATATTGATGAACATTTGCTTGTTTTAAGACTTTTCCTAGGCAATGGAGATAAAGTCATAAACCCAAACCTGCCCTTAATGTGATCACAGCCTGCTATGAAAAATATCTTCCATGAAAGCTATACCCATGATTAGTAACTTTTATGATGGGACAAAACTCAATTCAAGGTGCCTTAAGCAAAAAGATAATTTATTGAATCATGTAACTAAACTATCCAAAGTAGAACTTTAGGTAAGTTATGATCAGGTTTCAGACAATGTGACCAGAAATTGGTTTCTCAGACTTTTTCTTGACCCACTTTTTCTTGACAATCAACCTGGTCACAAGATAGCAGGCAATAACTCGTAGGGCTATAATGGCATCAGTTCAAATATAGCACCAAAGAGAGAGAATACAGACAATTGTTATCTTAGAGGTATGTATCAAGCACACTGGAAAAATGCAAGAATATACTGCATCTGCCAGGTGGACTCCAGGAAGGCTACCTAGAAGAGATAACACTTGAAAGAATAAAACATATAGAAAAGCTTATCTGACCTAAATTTAAGAGCCTGGTATTCTAGTTGAAAGACTTCGCCCCCAGCTATATCAGCAAATAAATCTAGAAAGTCCTGGAAAGGAATCATTATTCATTCTTTTCATTTAGCCTTATCTATACAACCAAATC